AATCACATGCCAGAAACCGTGAAATAAATAGAATTACAGGCCTCTAAATAGGTCAACATTTTAGTGATCCGAATGCGAAATTGAGAAGAAAAAAAAAATAACACAAAAAAAAAAAACCTCGATCAGGATGGATTTGGCTTGACTTTGCTTTTTCGATGGCTTCGGACAACCCCGATAGAAACTCAGCAGCGAGAATAAGCGAAATTACGACTCAGCCCCTACTCACAAACCTTCAGCTTCTACGGCGCAAACACGCAAAGGCGAGCGAAAGCAACAAAGGCTCAAGGGAGAGAGAGTTCTAGAGAGAGAAAGTAGCAGCAGAGAGAGAGAGAGATGAATTGAGAGAGGGGAAAATCAAATGAAAAATGAATGGAAAATGGGAAGTGTGTGCATAATAGAGAGAGCTCTCTAGTCTTCGTCTCCTTTTCATTTCCTTTTTTTTTTAATAATTATTTTTATTAAGGAAATTACCCTGTGTGGCCGCTCGTACACGTAGTATGCGTGCTGATTATGGGACCCACAGAATTGGCTCACTGTAAGCCGTCCGATGTGATGAAATGTTTGGATGTGGGCCCCAGGGAGACTGCTTAGCTAATTGGTAATTACTCGGACCACGCGGCGGTCAATAGTCTAAGGCTGATGGTGGGTCCTGACAGTATGGTCAATTTGACTATCTCTGGAGAAGAAATCAGATACAACTAACGTTGCCTGAAGTACATCATCTAGAAGCTTATGTCTGTGGTGTTTGTGAATAAAAATTGAAAAATATTACTGGAAAATTTTAAAAATTATAATAATAATTTGGAATTTAATTGGATTTCTTTTTCCTTCATAAATTACAAAAAATTCACAAGTAAAACAACATCCAGTTAATTTTAATCTTTATTAATTAATAAAAGTACAAATTATATGATTTTTGTTTTGGGCTTTTCTTTGTGGACTTGGTCAACCAATTCATTTTTGGGCTTCAATTGACCTTGGATCCAATAATTTTTGGGCTCTCCATTGACCTTAGGTCCAGCCCAGTCTAAGTGATAATCAACCTAAATTAATCTATAGTCCTATTTATTAAAATACATATACAATATATAAACTATTATGTAATTGGAACCCAAAAAAACATTGGACAAATCAAAAATCGGAATATAGGGAATCATAATGAAGATATTTATTCCAAAGTCGAGAAAAATCGGATTGGAAGTGGCGGAATTCACAATTTTTATTCCGACTTGCACCCTTAATTGTGAGAAATATTTAGAATAGTCATTTTTTTTAATAGTTGAAATGTTTAGTAAATGGAGTCAAAATCAACTTTAAATAGGTGAATCGCGTTTTGCACGTCATAAATGAACATTGATTGGCGTTTGCACCTTGAAATACACACATCATGCTAAAATGCACGTTGTATCTATTTTTCAGGAGATTTTAACTATAAAATTACGATATTTTAACTTTTGAAGAAATTTTTATTTTCGAAGATTGTGTACGATAACCTTCCCAATTCCGATGATCAACTATTTGTATGTATCACGTTAGTAACATCGTTTTTTTTTATTTATAACGATCAACTCCTATTTGATGATTTTTTTTTAATTAGCAAAATTTTGGAAATACTTAAAGTAGCTAAAAGCAACAAATATTTGATATATTTTGGTCAAAGAATGAATCTAATTAAAACATTTAAATGTGTCCAAGACCTAAGTAATCCCAATAATTGTAAAATTGGTGACGTGGAAATAAAGATGTAGACAACTCTACTTTGAATTCTTATCGTACACCAAAAATGGTTGGTATAGGAGAATAACATTGAAAATTAAAATGAAAAATGCAATTTCAAATTTAGAAATTATATATTTAATAAAAATATATAGAATTGTGATTTATACAGATTCCCATCCGAAATTTCAATGTCAATTTCGGAACGAGTATTTTAGATTTTTAGTTTCACTTTTATAAATATTCATTTTATTGTTTTGAATTCTTTTAGAATTAAATTGAAATTAAAATGTCACTCCCATTTTATTTTTATTTTTTAAATTAATATCCGCCCTATTTTCACTATAAAATAATAGTTAGCAACTAGGCTTGGGAAGCCAGCCGCCGACAGCGAAGCCACTTTCATAATGAAGCATACGCGGCGGCACGTTGTTGCTTAATCGTGCTCACACCGTAAAACGGTACTCCTGTATCACACACCATAAAAACCCTACAACAGCCGCTAAATACCATCCGTTATCGACGGGGTCTCAACATTTTCTCTCTCTATAAAGTCTGTCTCTCTCCTCTTGTTCTTCTGCATAATCTTTTATTTACTCGTCGTGTTTTCTGATTGAAGCTAGAGCACGTTCAAAAATGGTGAGTCTCCGTCTTCCTGTTTATTTTATTCTCCTGCTTTCCTTCATCATTCGATTTTGATTTTTGTTGCTTTCGATGCGATTGATCTGATTTTTTTGTTTTTAATTGTGTTTTGATTTTTGTTTGATCAGCAGTTAAATTTAGTTTACTCGTTTCAACTGATCCGTAATTGACTCGGTTTCATTTCTATGGTGCTGTTTGCTGTTGATTTTCTGTACTGAGTTTCAGAAAATTTTGAACCGAGTTATTTCCCCATTTTTTTCAATTATTGTCCGCAGAACAATTAAGCTAAATGTGCGGTATGTGATTACTCGTTCATGTTTAACATGAATTTTCTGATTCGAAGACTATTCTTCAATTTTTTAAGTCTTTTCAACCATGTTGTTCAACAGCTTTAAGCAAAGATTTCGATTCAATTATTGATCATGATTAGCTTCGCAAATAGATGAGATTTCGAATTCGAATTCGAATATTGATCAGGAATTGGCTTTAAGATTTTTCATATCTTTTTCTGTGTGTGTGTTCGTACGCACATGAACTGTTCGATGATATTCCTAAAAGTCGATTAGTTTGTAGGTGGGGGCTAGAAGAATGTAAGGGTATGTGTTACTGAATGTGAATCATGTTACATCATTTGATAAGCTGTTTAGTCCATGTTTCTTTGATTGCTATCATTTCGGTTTGGGGTTCTCTGTTTTGATTGTTTCGTGGCAGTAAAACTTTTCGCTCTGTTATTCGAATGAAATTCTTATGTTCTTATATATATGTAGGCAAATGCAGCATCCGGGATGGCTGTGCATGATGATTGCAAGCTGCGGTTCTTGGAACTGAAGGCAAAAAGGAGTCACCGCTTCATTGTCTTTAAGATAGAAGAGAAACAGAAGCAGGTGATCGTTGAAAAAGTCGGGGAGCCAAACGAAAGCTATGAGGACTTCACTGCTAGCCTTCCTGCTGATGAATGTCGCTACACTGTCTACGATTTTGACTTTGTCACTGCAGAGAATTGCCAGAAAAGCAAGATTTTCTTCATTGCTTGGTATTATGACCATCATTTTACACCTAGTATTTCCATTATTTAACATCTTATGCCATTGCTATATATTAATTGAACATGGTTTATTTGTTTGTTCGTTTTTTTTGCCATTTAAGGTCTCCCGATACTGCACGGATCAGAAACAAGATGATTTACGCTAGCTCAAAGGACAGATTCAAGAGGGAGCTCGACGGAATTCAAGTTGAATTGCAAGCAACTGATCCAACTGAAATGGGGCTTGATGTTATCAAGAGCCGCGCGTACTAAGCGGATAAAACTGAGCCTATAGTTTATGGGATGGTAAAACTTGGGGGGTTTGAGTAGTCACCCAAGTACTTCCAATACTTCTTATATCTTTAATGGAATCTATGCGTACTTGGTATATTATGATGTTATTTGTTACTCTATATATTCTATTCACTGGATGTTTCGGTTGTATTTTGATATCTACAAGCTGATATATGTAACAACAATGTGGTCGGGGTTAATGCTCTTAAACCCGTTTCGGTTATATGGACACGTTTTACCCCTGGTTTTTGTTTGGAAGTGCAATATAAACATGCTGACTTTCGTTGCTTGTTTGTATATGACTATTTTCCTCAGCTAGCTGAAGCTTTATGCTCTTGTTAGCTTAACAGTTGATTGCAATATATTTTGGAAAAATAGTTAAAAGAACGATTAGAACTATAACTGATTTGAATTTTGATTTAAGTAATGATTCAGAGAGATTGTAGCATGGAATGAACATCGGGCGCACAGTGATAAAAACGAATACTGCAATGTAAAATATCTTAATAATCTGTCTCAAATCAAAACAAAACTAGGTTTAGGCAAACTCAAAGCAAGCAAATTTCAAGATTTTGCATTAATTAAATTTTGGCTGAAATCCCAAAGCGTCTTGGCCAAACCTTCGTCTTTTGCAAGTTTCCCCGGCTGGTACTCATTGCAGTCAACATAATACTTCCCCGATATACCCTTCAAGCTCGGATGGAGTGCCGCATAGCAAGTTGTCGCTGCCCCCTAAAGATCGGGAAAAATAAACAGAGTAAATAGCTGCAATTGAGAACAACCTTAATTATCACGGCTTTTTTTCTTTTTATCTATTCTTGGGTTTATTCTGTCTGGTCCAAGAATATGTTTAAAGATTGTTTACCTGAGGAACATTCTTCCATAGCAAGCATGTGGCCACCCCCAAGAATTCTGCAACAGATTCTTGATCAGTGCAAGAGAACAGACGGAAAACTCGGGTGATATATTATATATACTTACTTATCAGGTTGTCAGAATGCTTGTAGAGATTTGTCTTTATCAGCCCTGGATGCACTGAGTTCACAGTTATATTAGCTCCCTCAATCTGCAAAACCATCCACACAAAATGTTTGACAGTGATTCAAAATCTACTATTACTAGTACATTTACTTTGAAACAAAGAGCACAATGCATGCAGAAAACGATACCTGCAGGCGCCTAGAGAGCTCATTGGCATGCAATAAGTTGGCTAATTTTGACTGTCCGTACGCTTTCTTGTCTTGATAACTGCGGATAGTCGAGAAATGTATAAGACAAAATAATCAAATAAAATTAGGATTTACTTGATCATTTACATTAAAATAAGCTATACCTGCTTTGATCGTTTATATGTTCAAACTGGATCCCTTTTTCATAAGTGTGGAGGTGTGCCACCGAGGTTAAATTCAAGATTCTGCCCTCAATGCCGCTAGATTTTGCTGTATCTTTCATCTTCTCAAGGAGAAGGTTAGTCAAGTAGAAGTGACCTATCAAGAAACATTAAGACAAAGCAATAAAACAAAACACAGAAAATTAAGGAAATTTCAAATTGTACGAGAAAATGAACGAAAAATACAAGTAAAAAAGTGCAATTTATACCAAGATGATTCGTTGCAAATTGCATCTCAATACCATCTTCAGAGAGCTGGTAAGGACAAAACATGATTCCGGCGTTGTTTCTGAAAAAAACCCAACAAAAACCGCAATTTTAGTAAATATTAAAAATCAAACTATATATATCCACGTTTTAAAAATAAGATTACATTAAGATGTTGAGAGGAAGATTAAGAGCAATGAAGCTATCAGCAAAGGCCTTGACTGATTTAAGGGAAGCGAGATCGAGTTTCAGGACATCGATTCGTGCATTTTCGTTGCCGTTAAGAATCATCTGTTTCGCTTCATTTGCAGCTTCGATGTTTCTTGCCCCAATAACAACATGCACTTTTCTTAGCGCCAATACTCTTGCTGTCTCCACTCCAATTCCACTTGCACCACCTACAAATCAAATCAAATCAAACAATTGGGATATATATACTATATTATATTCCTATTTAATTTTTATTATGCAGATTCAGGTACAACTTACATATTTTCAATGAAATAAAAGATTGAAATATATAATTAACAATAAAATAATTTATCCCATAATAGGTGGTGGTTGATTATTGATTGCTTGTGGTTGATTGTTCAACTATTCAAAATTAATGGGGGTATCAATTAAAGTCGATAACATGGCTGCATTAATTGAATATTTTTTTCTAAGTATTTTCTGAATCTGGTCATGGATAGACCCATGTTCAATTGACCGGTTAATCGGGTCAACTGTCCATGGATCCGAACCCGGCCCGGCCCGTGAACATAAGCAAAGCATCAATTAGTGGCTGGTTAAACTGAACCAGTCCTGAGTAGATTTCCAGTCCAACTTTAAACCAGAACTATTTAGTAGATTTCCAGTTTAAAAATGTAAAAAAAATAAAAAATACCAGTAATTAAATAGAAGAGCACAGAGGCAAAAAGGTCACAAACGCACATATTTATGTGTCTCTGTGTGTGTTTTTTGTACAGGTGCGCAGGACCAATCAATCAAATCTGATTGATCAGTAAAATTGCAGACTGCAAATCAACACACACACACCAACAAAAAAAACAAAAAAAATCCAGATACTTCTGCATGCATAGATAGATACATTATACACAAATACGAGTACAATTAATAATAAACAATGATCATAAAAAAAAATTGAACAGAATAGAGAGAAATGATGAACCTGTAATAATGGCAGTGAAATTGGAAGCATCAATTTCATGAGTAACCTGTTCAGCAGTTGAAGCTGATCCAAAACCACTGGGCCCTGCTATTCCTGTGATCAATCTCAACATTTTTCCCCCTGCTGAGTTTTTCTCTGCCCAAAAAAAAATGGCAACTGATTTCTCGATCTCTTCAAAAGCTGCACTGAGAAATGAAATAGAAATGGAGTGAGAGAGAGAGAGAGGAGTTTTTAGATGCCCAAATTTAAAACTCGTGAGAGGTGAGAGAATTCATGAGATGGCGGAAAATGAAATTAAATGCACAAGGGATAAGAAAAGAGAGCGTGACATGATTTTAAATTAAATAAATAAATTTTGGTCCAAGAGGATGCATTGGGCATTTAATGAAAGTTGGTGAGGGCCTGTAAATAATTATTAACTTTCAACCGCCTTAGACAAATAGGAATATGATGATTTGGATGAATTGAAATAATCAGAAAGCAAGAGCGCACAGTAAATGCATGAGCATGAAATTCTTGGTGACCACCACCGTATAAAAAATGTAGCGTAGCGTTTTGACTTACAATGGAAATTGCACCTCTTTGTGTTAGATTTATAATTCAATCGGAGTCAACTAATTTAGGTGTCGGATTTTAGCTCTTTCTCATCGGATATCCAATCTTTTGTGATTCAAGTTGATTTCAAAATTACATTTGAAATTGAAACAACATTTATCACCTCCCTAAACAATTTTATTAATACTAGTAAATTATTTTAAACTAGATAAAATAACTAAAAGATTTTGTATGGGCTTGAGCCCACAATTGGTAATGTCTTCGGCTGTTCATATCCATTTCTTATATTGTCTAAATTAATTGGGCTGGTAGCCTGAACTAATTATATGTTAGTAAAAGGGCTATGACTATTTTCTCAAAGAAATGGCGCAAGCCCGAACAATTTTTTGAAAGACAAAAAATGATGAAAAAAAGGGAAAAATATGCAGAGAAAATGCAGAAATAAATAGTGGGGGAAAAAAAGCCCTGCGATGAGTGGTGAAGAAAGAAGACAAGGTTAAGTTTCTGGCGAAAAAAATTACGGCCCTGGAGAAATTGAGAAGTGGGGTAGAGATAACAGAGTTGGAGAATCAATAGGAAGAGGAATCAGAAACGTGTGACGTCACTTTTTTTTATCTAAATAAAATATGATTATATGAATTAATAATTAATTAAAATTCCGATAATAAATATATTCTGAATCTAATTTTATATATATTTTTATTTTTATATTAATTGTCGCCGTGGATATTTATATTATTCTTTTTCATCCCATCGCACCCCATTCAGTCAGTCGCCTGCAGCCGTAATCCACCTCGATCGGCATTCTTCCGTTTGCGTTGTACGTTATTCTTCCAATTGTCCAGATCCGACCCGATCCGGATCCGGATCCGGAATCCGATATTGTATGGCGGCGTCGCGTCGTCTCCGGGAGCTCCAATCGCAATCGGGGAACAAGATCTGCGTCGACTGCACCCAGAAAAACCCCCAATGGGCATCCGTATCATACGGCATCTTCATGTGCCTCGAATGCTCCGGCAAACACCGCGGCCTCGGTGTCCACATCTCCTTCGTCCGATCCGTAACCATGGATTCATGGTCCGAGATCCAGCTTAAGAAGATGGAGAACGGAGGCAATGAAAAATTCAATAATTTCATCTCTCACTACGGAATCCCCAAGGAAACCGACATCGTCGCCAAGTACAACACGAACGCCGCCTCCGTTTATCGCGATCGCGTACAGGCGCTTTCGGAGGGCAAACCCTGGCGCGATCCGCCGGTGGTGAAAGAAGCCTCGAAGAAGCCGAATAGCAGCGTTGAAAGCAGTTACAATAGTCGCGGTAGTAAGCCGCCCTTGAGTGGCAGGAATGGTAATTCTGGGAATGATTCGGGGTGGGATAGTTGGGATAGTTTCGAAGATGGAGGGAATAGTGGGGGTAACAATATTAGGAGGAATAATTCGGCCGGAGATTTTAGGAGCTCCGGTAGTGGCGGCGGTGTGCCGTCACGGTCAAAGTCAACGCAGGATATTTATTCACGGGCGCAGTTGGAGTCATCTGCAGCTAATAAGGAAGATTTCTTCGCTAGGAAGATGGCTGAAAATGATTCCAGGCCAGATGGTGTTCCTCCTTCGCAAGGTGGGAAGTATGTTGGATTTGGATCGAGTCCGGGACCAGCAGCCCCGAGGAAGAACAATGCTGATGGAGATGTTCTTTCAGTTGTTAGTCAGGTGGAGTTGTGTGCATATTTTCTGTTTTTGCATTCGGTGGTGTTTGTTTGATGTGGTAATAATAGCTGATGTCGTTTCGTGCAGGGATTTGGTATGTTGTCATTGGCAGCTGCATCTGCTGCAAATGTTGTTCAAGCTGGAACGAAGGAGATCACGTCTAAGGTAGTTTCAGTTTCGTGTTTATTTACGTATACTTTGATTGAAAAATTCAACTGACTTCGACTAATGGCCAATGATAATTTTTCTTTTTGTTTATCTGTGTGTGTAAAGTTGGTGTTTTGTCTATGCTCTCCATGTTTATTTTCTTGTCTTCATAGCATGTCGATTATATTCAGAGCTTTTAACCTGCACCAAAAGCACATGTCGACATAGTACATACTAAAAAGCTCAGGAATTCATTGAATTTGTGACAACTTGGGCATAAAATAGGTTACACAACCTGAGATTTGAAAGAAACTTAAATTCAGTTCGGTCTCACTTTTCTCTCATATTGTGATTGAAACGTAAGACATTACGAATTCTTTGAAATAATATTTGTATCTCTTCGCTCCAAAAAACGGAGTGAATACAGTTCGTCAGAAGTGATGTACGATACAAATTTATCTATCTTGTACAGGTAAGAGAGGGGGGCTATGAGGAAACAGTCAGTGTTGTAACTGCAAAGACATCAGAGATAGGGCAGAAGACATGGGGGCTTATGAAAGGGGTAATGGCTTTGGCCTCCCAGAAAGTGGAGGAGTTCACAAAAGAAGGCTCTGGCCCACAACGGAACGAAAACGACAGCACCGGATATTATCAAGAATTCGGACACGACTCGAAAGGATGGAATTCTTCAACTGGAGCACAATCCTCATCCACTCGTCAGTTTAACTCTGTTAGCTCTAGTGCGTGGGATGATTGGGATGTCAAAGACAGCAGAAAAGAAGATTCGTCGAAGGGGGCCCCAGCCCCCCCCTCAAAAGGGGATGAAAGCTGGACAGGCTGGGATGATGGTAAAGACGATGGGTATGATAGTTTCTATCATAGTGCACCTGATAAGAACTCGGTTGGTTATAATGGAAAATCGGATGACAGCAAGTGGACTGGGGGTGGGTTTCTTTGAGGTAAGTACTCATATCTCATTCTTGATGCTGCATCTTTTTTTTTTTTTTTTTTTTTTTAAACTTTTTCTTCCTTTACATTTTTGCTTCGGATAAAACCCAACACAATACGATGATGGGTTTGTGTGACATAGGGTCTATAAATGTAAAATATCGTGTACTGGACCTGCGAAATACCGATCGAACGATAGGGATTGCTTGTTTGTGTTGTACTGACCTTTGCTTTTCCCATTTCAAATTTTAATTTAGACTGCCTTCGGATTGCAATTAGTTTTGTTGTTTTTTATGTTCTATTTTTCTGTATCTTCATTGTGATTACGTGAACTACAATGGAATCGATATATCCCCCTTTATATGTTGGTCATCGTTTCTTGTACGCTATACAAGTAGATATCATTGAGAATCGAAATGGATCTTTCTTATTCCGTTTTTCCCCTAGCTATGATCGATTGGCTTGTTTTGGGGTTTTATTTGATGCTACACCCGGTGAAATACACCGGGTGATTATGAACCGTTGATCTGCACATAAGTGTGTGCTTAGTGGGAAGTTATTTCACCACATCAATGGTTAAAAATCATCCTGTGTATTTCACCAGGATGTGCTAATTAACTTGTTTTCGCGGGTATTTTTTTTTTTTTAGTTTTTTTTATTATTACTTGATATGGGATTTCTGGTTCATTTTTTAGGGTTATGTTTGGAATTGCTTAGTTCTGCTTATATGACAAAAACTCCACCATTTATTTGAACTGGAAATTCATCTCCATTCTGAAACACATGCTAATTATCACACTTTTCTTCATAGCTCCAAGTAAAACACAGCCAAGCAACAACCTTAATCTAGATTCATTCTCACAAGACTGTACTTATAAATACTTCATAACCCCCTTCACACTATCACATCCTCTTCCATATTGATCTTCGGAACTTTTGCCTGTGAAAATAACTGTTTTTGAACCACTAGCACCGAAGAAACAATCCCTATGTCCGACGATGCCAACAAGTCTCCGGCGGGCCCCAGCTCCGAGTGCTCAGCCACTCGTGCCACCTGGTACAAGCCTTTGCCCACGATTATCAAGTTATAGTCTCCACTTCTCCCAATTGCCAAAATTTCATCTTCTATAGTGTTAGCAGCAACTTTCGCTATCAACTCCATTCTGCCTTCCCTTCTACTTATGAATTCTTCCAGTTCACCCACCTCATCATTTTCCTGATGGTATATATGTATATGTTTTTAATTAAAATTAAATATTTTCGATTCGAGAAAATATTTTCGGGAACAAAAAATGCTTGTGTATGATGAGTTGCATGAAAAAAAATAGAAATGTTTCCTTTACCTTCTCAGCCAGAGGACTCATGTTAGTGATTGCAGTATTATTGAAACTCTGGCTCTCCCCTTTGCTATATGATGATGATGATGATGTCATCATTCTTATTACCGCCACCTTCACCGCCGGATGCTCCGCCATCCTACCACCCAACTCCAATGCCTCCCAATCATCGGGCCCGCCGAAAAACAGGATACATACGTTTTGCACCGCTGGTGCACCACCGCCACTATAACCACGGTCCACCAAAACCGCCACCGAACATGGCGCCTCCTCCAAAACCCTCCGATTCACTCCTCTCCAACCCTGGCCCACGTTCTCCACCTCATCCTGGTCGTTGATCTTCCTCCACCGCTTGTGGAAGGGTAGCACTATCATTGCAACCATCTTCTCCTCCGCCACGTGGCATATATCTTCGTGCATTGTTGCCAATGACGATATGGCCTTAGCACTACGGATAATGACCCGACCCAGTTGGCTGTAAGCCTGGAAAGCGAGGGCGACTTGGTTGCTTAACTCGGTGACTTGGCGGAGGCGGTGGATAAAAGGGAACCCGTTTTTCCTCCAACGCCTGACCATTATAATTGAGGAGGATCGCTCGGTGAGTTCCACCAGGTGGGTAATGTATACTTTGAGGCGGGAGGATTTGGTGGTGGAGCGAGTTGACTCGATGAAATTGACGAGAGAGGGTATGTTGGTTGGGCCGTGGATGCAGGCGAGAATTCGGAGTTCGTCGGAGGAATTGTTGGAGATGGAGTGGCGGCGGCGGCCTGTGGCGGCGGAGAAGCGGCGAGGGGGTCTGTAGATGGCCATGACAGCTGGAGTTGTGAGGAAGGTGGTGAAGATTGCCATTAGGACCAGTATAGTAAACGCCTCGTCGTTTAAAACCTGCGCCGATTACCCAAAGGAATTAGTAATATATTTAATTTCCTTTTTTGACATGTCTCAAAGTGTTTATAAACTTGAAGGAAATATGTCTTTCAAAATTAATAATGTGATGTGATATACAACTAACTGTTACACACTATTTTAAATGTAAAAAATATTATTGAAAATTTATAATTTCAACTCTAATCTTATATTTTGCATAAATAAGATCATGAATATAGCTCCATTGGGTAAATCTACATACACTTTTGTATAATAGTATACAAACAAAATGAGAGACGTAAACAACACTAGGCTACCTATATTTGACAAGTTCGACTTAGCGATCGTTAAAAATTGACACAAACTCGGTTGCTTACTAACTTTTTTGTTTTCTATTCATTCTCTTGAACACGTTTCTTGTAAAACGAGTAAAAAGAAAAATTCAATAAACTAATCAAACATAACCTTTAGATTCAAAGATTCTTATTGCACTAAAATTAGTTATTCTCCACAATAATAATAATAATCACTTTTTCCACTCTTAGTGTAAAACGAGGTAGGTAAGTTTCTTTCCAATATGAAACAAATAATGAAGTCATCAACCATTAACCATAATTATCCGTTTATGAAGCTAATGATTTCATCTTAATTATAAACAAGGAAGTATTAATAAATAAGAATATATAGTTTATTAATTGAATAATTAATAATATAATATAATGACTAACCTTCTTGTCCTTGCCAATATTGAGAACAATCAGCTCCACTAACCCTTTGGTATTCATCAGCACCCCAAGCGTTATCGACTCCCTCGCCGGAATCTTGCACATCATCGCCACTGTGAAAGTTCCGATGATTTTTCCGGCAGACGCCGCCGTTACAACCAGCACCAGCAACCCCCACGCCTCGGCGCCGTTTATTTTGGCCACGTCGGTTTTCAACCCGCTCGAAGCAAAGTACAGCGGCAGCAACAAACATGAAACGAAGTCTTCGATCCTCGCGATCAATCTCCCCGAGAAGTCCCCGCCTTTCGGTACCGTCAACCCGAATACGAACGCCCCGAATATCGCGTGTATTCCGATGAAATCGGTGATGAAACTCGCCACCAACACCCCGCCGAGGGTTAAGCAGATGTATGCTTCGCCTCCCGTCTCGTGCTGCGATGACCACCGCCGCGCCACACAATTCATGGCCGGCTTGACCGCCACCACCATGAAAGCAACAAAAACGACACCGGATAACATAACCCATATAGAAATCAACGGGCTTTTGCTCGGCCCGTCCCCGCCATTACCTACGAACCGGATCGAAAAATAATTACGAATCTACCCTTAATAATACTAATAATGACTTTTAAAAATACGCATATGGAATTTGAAACCCCGAATCAATATATTACCTGCGAGAGCGACAGCTAGGGCAAGTGAAATCCAAGCTACGACGTCGTTAATGGCAGCTATCGCCATGGCAGTTTCACCAACACTTGTGGTTAGGAGCTTGAGCTCTGCTAGTATACGTGCGAGTACAGGGAAAGCTGTGATGGAAAGCGCAACTCCCATGAAAACTATATACTGTGGGTACCCGACTTTATCAGCTCCGTCGACGGTTTTACGGAAGATATACGAAACTCCGACGCCTAATGTGAACGTGAGCGATATTCCGGCGACAGCAATGATAAAGGCGCGGCGGCCGCTCCGCCGTATGGAGTTCAAGTCGAGTTCCAGTCCGACGAGGAAAAGGAAAAAGACGAGCCCGATACTTGCTACCGATTCCAGTATCGGAGCACTCCATCCCGGGAATATTCTGTGCATGTATTCTTGATTCCGACCAAAAGCCGACGGCCCAAGTAATACACCACCCTTTAAAAAAAAAATGCGTATAAATCGAAAATCGATCGATTTTGTTTTCGACAAAAGTTTGATTTTGTTCGCATGCATGTTGCATGGATGCTATGTCAAATATATATATACATACAGTTAAATCTTTATAAATTAATACAGTCGGAAATTCTATTAATTTAGCGGATTATTAAATTATCGAATTAATAATTTAACACGTTTTTACTGAGTCGGGACCGAGAGAAACTATTATTTAATCAAGGTTATTAATTTATCAAAGTTCTAATGTAATTAATTTATTCAAATATTCAACGACGACGTATGCGTAGACAAAATTAATATTGAAAATGGAAAACACGTTTAATATATATATATATATATATTTGAAAATCGAAAACACATTTAATTAAGTAAAGAAAAATTGTACCATCAATTCGGCGATGACTTTGGGTTGGTGGAGGGGTTTGAAGAGGAAGGCGAGTGAGCGGCAAACGAAGAGGATTAGAATCGTTTGGACGATTAGCAACGGGAATGCGTAATCTAAGGGATTGTCGCCTTGCCAAACTCCGTTCGACGATGTTTTTATTGATGTTTTATTCATCGTCGAACACAATATGTTTAATTAATTAGTTCAAGGGATTGTAGGAGTAAGCTGAAAGATTAAATTCAGTGAAACCCCGCCAATTGGTATATTCTTTGATTCATTGTGTGTCGAACATATATATAGTGGTTGATCAATTGGTTATGCCATGCCATGCATTTGATGGGTGAAATTACCAATATGCCCTTCCGAATATTGTGAGGATCAGTGGCGAACGGGACGGGCCCATTTATTACTTGAAATAATTTCAACCAAGACTGTACTAAATTAAAATTGTGGAGGCAATTTTTCTTATGGTATTCGTTGAAAAATAAATATTTATATATTTTTTTGAAAATAATACAAGTTTTAATATTTTAATTTATATTGTAACGATAAATGTCAAAAGATATCTAAATTTACAAAAGAGTTTGAAGAATTACAAATAATAAGATTATAAGAGGACCAAAACTCATATTTATAAAAAGTAATTAAATATTAGGTTTTTTTTATTTTTTAATCTTGAGGTGACAAATTGACATGCGTCGGGATTTGCCAAAATATTGAAATCAGATTTTGAGCTTTCTTTCTTAATTTATTTTTTAGGGTTTATACAGTAGTTTTTGCTTTACCAAAAACTTTGAAATTATAGTGTTAAAGCGTATCCAAGATTCTAAAGTAGCTTTTTTTTTTTTAATTTAAAATTTAATGGGACATTTATGTTTTTAATTATGTGAAATTAAAAAAAATAATGTGAAATTATATAACTCCACTTTTATAGGGTTATTTGTGATATTAAAAACTCAAATTTATTTTCCAAGTACAAAAAAAAAAAGAAAAAAAAATAGTAGCATGTGCTCGGATCCCTACCTGAAATAAACATTATAAATAAATAGAAAAATGAAAATCAGGAAAGGGGTCATAATCTTGATTCTCCACTCCACTTTGATTTTGCCGCGCCATTATTGCCAAACAAGTTAGTGCAGTGCTTAGTAATAAAAATGTATTATTTCCCTCCATTTTCAAGAACGGTATCATCACTTTTGCTAATGCAACTGCCCCCACCAGTTTTAATCCAACTCGATAATTACTCTGTAACCTATGTCGACTGTAATTAGACTCTGGATTTTCAA